GGTAGTTGTTCATCTACTCGGAAATACCCCAAGGCCTCGTGCCGCAGCTGCAGAACGCGCGGCGCTTTGAGCTGGATTTGACCCCGTCTCTCGGCGAAGAAATGCGCAGAACTAACTCGAAGTCGGGTGAGGGGAGTGAAGGTGTTCATATGTGTTTAAAGTGACCAGGGGAGGTTGTGGACTGGTTGGTTGGTGAGGTTTTTTTGCTTTGTCGGTGGGCTTTTGAGATTCATTCAGGTTCTATGCTGAGGTCATGTACACCAGTAAATGGTCTCTCTACTCCCTCTTTGCAAGTGGTTTGGGATACTTATAGACCAAACAACGAGCTGGTAGCTTCAGGTAAGGCTTGCTAGCCCAGAACTCGGCTTCTCCAAGATTTTCAAAGACTGGCAGGGAAGTATAGCAACTGCCGAGGATGATTCGATCTTAGAGGAGAAACATCTTTCTTTAATGGAAACAAATGGGTGCCTCCTTCCTTTTTCCTCCGTTTCCTCCCTTTCACGTCCAACCGCTGGAGGTTTCCTCACCTCATGGCCCTCGATGAGCGCTTGGCCCAGTTGCCCGCTTTTCAGGCGGCCCGCCCGGAGGCGCAACCGGATGCCAGCTGAGCCTCCTTGTCAAACGTGCCGCGCAGGGCAGAGCCTATAGATGAGCCCAGTTGACCTGGCTTTGTTCTTTTTCTTTGAGCGCCCTAGATGTTATTGAAGCTGTGACATGTTGCTTAGTCTAGATATGTTACCGTCAAATACTCTGTGAGGTGGTTGTTTCTGAGCCTTTAGTAGGTACCATTCCGATGTTGCATGACATCACCGTCTTCTTCGGTGGAATGTGTTTGTGGATAACTGGATCACCGAATGCCTGGCTTTGTCTCCTACCCAGGAAAAGTGGATAACCTTATGACCTTATATAATACGTATAATACAACCTTTCTTGGGGGAGCCAGGCTTCCCCAGTAGTCATGGAATGCCAGGCTTTGTTGGAAACATCATGAAACACCCCTTTTTCCAGACCAACTTGGAGCCGTTGAGGACTTTGTTTTCCCGATAGTTCATTCGCCCTTTCAGCATAGTTCTCTCGACTATGTCGCAAGAACTCTTGACTGGTGAACTAGATGGGCAAGTCTCTAAGAGGTTTCAGATCCACTCAAGTCTGAACTTTGCAGAGGAGATGCTCTTGGGTGGAGTCAGGAAAAGGCAGCGGTTTCAAAGGCCAGTTCAAGATCTTACAATTCATTTTGGCGTACTACGAGGCATGATGCCGTGGCCTCACAGTTGAGTAGATTCAGTATAGGGAGCTTGAAAGACGATTCGCGTTCACACAAGCAGCACGAGCACTTTACAGGAGTTACATGATGTGGACCAAATCCTGAGTATCCCCTGCAACTGCCTAGATTGCACTCCATAAGGGTTTTGCATGTTCCAAGCTCTATTTGTACGTTTGAGGGATTGCCATACATATAGGGTTGGAATGGGTTGAACACTTCTTCACGCTAAACACTCTTGGCGATGGGCTCTACAGCCACTCTGCCTGATTTGAAGTCAAAGATGTACACATTCACCGCGGGCGAACGCGTTCGGACGCTTCTGCCGTGCGAGAACTGGAATGACATTCCCTGTGGCGCTCAGTGCCAGAAGGTACCAGGTGATTTAGCGCATTGTGCTCAGATGGATGATGCAGCAAATTATGCACAAGGTGTTTTGATGTTTATGGATTTTCCGGTCATGACACAACTCATGTCTAAATCCCGCGTGCAAAGGGTGTTTCGTGCAAAGGACGCAGGGCCAGGCTGAAAGTCATCAAGACAAGGATTTGGAAAAGGCCAAATGGAAGTGGCAGCCGGAACCAAAAAGCGCCAAGCAAGGTATGGCTCTTGTGAACTGCGCTTCATTCCAAAAGGCGTGCTTTTCAAACACAAACCGCATATACCAAGAAAAAGTATATGTAAACTGAGTACGCAATTGGTTTGTGTGTTCACATTTTGTTCACATTTAGTTTTGTGGAAAGAACCTCGGATCGCGGAATGTCTTGCATAATTGACAATTGAAACCGGCATGTTGGGTTCTCTTTAGAGTTTAGCAGCTAAGCAAGCGACATGCAGCTTTCCTGTGGGAAACGATATCATTCCAGTGGAAAACGATGGGAAGTTACTCAGCGATTGGCTGAGTGCCATCGTGCTTGGCCTTGCCAGAAGCGAGGGCCCAGATGTGCAGCAAATTCAAAAAGCGCAGCAGCAGGGGCCCCGTCCTCCAGGGTTCCAAGGTCACTTCAGGACCTCCAAAAGATTGACACAAAAATATGTTTCTCCACTCCCGCGTGATGGTGCTGGTCGGGTCGATGGTCTCTCTACTGGTCGGGTCGATGGGAGCATGCTACCTGGTATTTTCTATGCATGCTTTGGACCACTCAAACGAAGGGTCACTGACAGGTCTACTGGAGCACTTACATTCGCAGTCGAAGTTTCAACCACATTTAGACATTGAATTGGTGAGTTTGGAAATCTGTTCCATTCCCACTCCGACCTTGCAACTGCAACCAAATTGCGGCATTGACGTGCTTACCAAAACGACTTCTAACAGTCTTGCCACTGCCAGAATGATCTCCTTAGCCCCAAGTCTCCAGACGATGAACGACAATAAACGACATTCCTGCGAATCCGTTTATGGCATGTTCGGGTGCCGTCTTCAGGTGCCAAATGAGGAAGTGGGAGGCTGTTAGGTTAGGATCCACCTTTCTGGGACTCCTACCTCTTCGGTCCTACCTCTTTCTTGGTGTTCTTTTTGCACCAGTTCTGTCTTTGAGGCCAGGCTTTCAGCCGGGTTTCTTCCCGGGCTATTGCCAAGGGCCTTCACCGGCATGGGTGCGCGCCCAAGCTGAGCAAATCGTCCTTTGCTCGGTACAGAAAGGTTTCGGAGCCCTTCGGGCCTTCCAGATGTGTGCTGAGGTTTCTAGGCAAAATGATTGGCTGAAGAATCTCAGTGATGAATCTGGTTTCATGACCACCAGTTTCCATGGATCCTCAGCAAAGGAACAAAATGGGTAACCGTTTCTGATGTATTCTTATGTCATCTTATGTTGGGGTCATTCATTTGCTTCACACTTCCAACAGCCGATGTGTTCCATGCAAAGTCCCACAAAAGTGGCCACCTCCCTGCCTCCGGAGCCAATTCTCCTCTCAGGAGCCAACTGCCAAGGAGCTGGAGCAGCTCCTCTTGGTGCGCGGGTCTGCGAGCGATAAGCGGGATGGCTCCAGTGGAGGAATCCTCTAGTGAAACTGCAAAGTGGAGGAGACAAGTAGCCTGGCCCCATGGGTTTGTCTCCACTTGGGGGAAGCTGGGGGGTACCCAGGTTTAGGAAGATGGAAAGAAGAGACCATGAGCCCCTTGATTTCTTTGCGTTTGGGAAGAACAGATCCATGATCCAGGTGTGTCCAGTTGCTCTGAGGGGAGGTCGATTAACAAGAGCATTGCTACTCTCCCCTGATATTCTTTGGATTGAAATAGGATGAGATCAGAATGTTCGTCGTGAAATAGGATGATATAAGAATGTTCGTCACAACTCTAGCAGATTCTAGGGCCTCATGGATGCTTATGAACCTCGAGCACTGCTTGGCTGATTGAGCTAAGCTCTTTGACTTGTACAGATGACCTGCTTCCGCCTTGAGCCCGCCACCCTCGAGCCACGATCAGGAAGTTTGATGAAGGAGCATGACCTTCCAGGCTGGAAAGCATGCGCCCGGCGCGCGCGGGTCCGCCAAACCCAACAAATGGGTACAAAGGTGAAACCTCTGATTGAAAAAAATAGTAACTTATAAAGCGATCGGACGTCATGAAAACATATGAAAACGATCCATTTGCTTTTGGGAGGCCCATCTTTGCGTTGAAAGTTGAAAGGCTTTGCGGCCTAAGCTTCCTTGCAGCAGAAGATAAATCAATTCCCACCTCGTTGGCACTGCGGTAGTTTCCAAAGAAGATTAGTGATAGAAAAGGCAAGTCGCTGGTACATTCCGGCCACTTTCATGTGTGTGTTGTGAAAACCTGCCAGGGGCGACACGCTCGAGCACCTCTGCAGAGTGTATTGAGCAAAAAGCCTCATGTGCGAATCAAACCCACCACATCCAGAATGGTTTTGCATCTCATTCTTGGGGGTTACAGTAACAGTCTACATGTGTCTCGTTGATTGAAGATGAAAAGATGGCAAGACAATTCAGAATGATGACATGTCTAGCTTCTATCTACGGTGACATGTCTGAGCTTGAAGTCCAAAGAAAGAAATCTTAGGCATCTTTTCTGCTGATTTGCTCCAGCTCCCAGACACCATAAACATCCAAGCAGCTTGGGAGCTTTAAGACATCCTAGCGGAGTGGAAGCCATTTCCAGCAGTCGACCGAAAGCCTTCAGGACCAGGATCATAGAGGACATGACGCACGAAGACACATGGAATTGTGAGCGCCTTTGTTGTGGCTGTGATTATGTTTTTAAGAGAAGGTTCCACTGGCATGGCTTGATACGCCTGGCATGGGTTTGATCCACTGGCATGGCTTCATACGTTTCAGCGAAACTGTCACCATAGCTTCTATAGCTTTCAACTTCTTGATCTGGCTAGCGGATCTTGGTCCTGATGGTCTGAATCAGGTGCCGCTCTGGCTGTCGTTTGGTCCAAACTAGGAGGATCCAAAGTGGTCCGTTTCGACACAAATGTATACAAATGTTATCAAGTTTTGCTGAAGACAAAACCCTTGCTCCACTCATGTGATAACCTTCCAGATCTTTCCCAAAGACTCCCAAAGTTCCACGATTGAAGTTCATCACAAAAGCATCGTGTTTTCTGTTCCTATGTGCAATAGGTTTGTTGTTCCTTTATTCAAAATTGAATCCATGTGTCGCATTTAAAATAAGAATGCGGGGCGACTCTTCCCAAGCTGCACCCGGCGTTCAGTTCCCTCTTATAAGCCAAGCACGCCTGCCTCAACGAACCGTAACCCGCCACCGGTCGAACCGTTTCGGGACGCACCGTGCGAGTCGGCACGAGCCATGGCGCTCTCCATCGCACCGCCCGCGCGAGCCGCTGCGGGAGTCGAAGTGAAACGGTCCAGTCTCAGCGAGGCGGCGGTGGTCTCGGTGAGTCGGCTTAGGCACGAGGTGGTAGTCCATAGGAGGAGGAGGAGGAGGAGGAGGAGGAGGAGGAGGAGGCTCCAGTAGGCTCAGTGAACTTCAAGCACCTTAAAGCCAGATGCAATGATTGAACATATGGGTGTGTATTGTGTATGAACAGGCCCTGGAAGAAGGGAAGTGGGTCCCTCTATTAAAATACACACCCATGATATGGTGAAATTGTATCATGCGGCTCCTTCAGAAGATCCAGTCGGTTCTGATCTTATCGCGGCATCGGCCAGGTTGTATTCGGTAGAGATGTTCAGGTGGACAGAGGCTCGCACTGACCAAAAGGCTCAGGGAGAATCAATGGTCGTCTATAGTGAGGCCTAGAAAAAAGGAGCACCCAATCTGCAGGAGATTGAGCCTAACTAAAGCAGTAATTACCGTGTTTGCTTAAGGATCCAGGATCAACTATATAAGAACTAAAATATAAGAACTGCAACGCTGACACTCCCTCATCACTTTGAGAGAGGTGTGCTCTCGATCCTGACATCACTCTATGTTTCCCACGGAACCCGCCGGGCCCGCGGGCCTTTTTGAAGAATCGATGTGGATCATCATAAACATCGTCAGCGTCAGCGTCCTCGTCATCCTCCTCAGCATCATCATCATCATCATCATCATCGTCGGTATAGACTCTAGTCATTCTAGCCCAACTCAAGGTCTGGCTTGGGAGCAATTCTCAAATCGGAGGGCCCACTGGTGTGCTGCCTAACGTGTTCAGATCATGTTCGGACTCGACCGTGGGCTTGCCGCTCCAGGTAGCTCCAAGATGTTAATATACGTATTTTATATTATGCCATTCAATACTGTACATAAAGCCCATGCGTGGGCATTGACAAGAATACTATATGTGGGTGAAGCTATTTGATTTACCACTGAAATATACTGAAGCTTCTTTGGAACACATGTATCCCTGCATGTTCAGCTGCGGCTGGACCCAGTTTGTCTCACACAGAAGGTGAGTGTTCTTTTCCCAGACTGCCATGTTGGGAGGAAGAGAGTGGATTCTGGGGTTCATCCACGCTTTCTCCCTGTTCCCAGGCGGTTGGCATACCAACTCGTGCCCGTGTGGATGGAGGAGGCTGGGCCGGCTGGGCGCGAGGTGACTCGGTGGAGCCTGAGGATAGGTGTTTTGGAGTTTGGAGTGTGATGGAGTGTAGAGTGCATGAAGGGGTATTACTATTTTGAGTTTTGCTTGTCCAAATGAAGGTCCCACTGTTGACATGTGAGTAGAGAATACATGTTCCAGCAGTCAAGGATGACAGAAGTTCCGATTGCTGACTTCAGCCTCCAGGGTGTTTGTATGATTTGTTTGTTGCGGTTCTTGGAAGAGGTTGTTTGTTACACGGATGAACTGCGTCTGTGCTTCGCACAAAAAGCGACTGCCCAAGGTGCTGGCGGCGGGCGAGCAGCTGTCTCGCTGGGCCTTTGGGCAACGCTGCAGGCGAAGAGCAAGGAGAGGAAGGAAGAAGATATTTGATAAGAAAAGGGAACAATAAAAAGAACTAAGAGGTAAAAATAAGAAGTACGCGAATTCCTTGCTGAAATAAGAATGCGACTCAGAAGGAAATCCTGATTTTGATTCACCCCCCCATGTCCGATTGAAAAACCTCTGAAAGGCCTTGGGGGGTGAAAGGGCACCTCAACCGTCTCACCCAGAAGTGCCATGAGCACTGGTCGGCGGCGCAAGCGCATCGACTGCACGAGAATATGTTTGGAGTGTTTCAAAGGTTCTTTGTGAACAACATATTCCAACCATTCCAAACGAGGTAGCAACAATGGTTCGAAATTTCAGAACTGTTGGAATAGCGGTCCCGTTCGTGAATGCGAATGTTTTTTCCGTCTTTTCGGGTTCAGTGACATCCATCGTAAGGGGTGCCCCTTTTCTTTTTGGTATGCTGCCAGCATTGCACAACTTCCACAAATCCCCGTTTGCAGACAGGTGTCAGGTGTCTAGCAATATATTTAGCTTGTAAATATATGTTAATTTCTTAAGAAGGAATAGATCGCTTCAGGGCTTTGCTTCCCCTCTGACCACCGGCATGGCGACAGCCGACACCGATCCGACTGGAGGCCATCGTGGTTGGACGTGCCCGAACGAGGTCACGAGGGCGGTCAATCGTGGGATATCCTCGACGGAATCTATGAAAAGAAAACCTGGTGCATGATCAACCAAGCTTCGGGTCGAAACCCCTTTGGGGTATTCTGCGGCAGTACAAAGGTAAAAGTTTGGAGTCTGATTCAGGGATTTACTGCTATCTCACACATACTGGGATAGACTGTACACACCCCTGCAATGCAATAGGATGTAGTCTCACTTCATTTGCTTGTCACAACCCATCACTTGCCTTTCAGAAGTGGGCTAGAAGCGGGCTTTGTCCGAAATCCAGCCATGAAAAATCTTGCCCGATGCCATCGCTCGTAACGATTCATCATCAAATTTTGCAATTCATGGCAATCCGAAAAATAGGAACATGGTCGTAGTGTTGAAGAGTTCAAACGAGTTCTACTGCTTGAGGAGGATTCAGTCATATTGCTTTGCTATTCACTAGAGGATCTCTCATGTTTACTGTAGCATTGAGTTCACCAAACCCAGGCAACTCTTGAAAATCTGAATTATAGTACAGATTGAGACAAGCAAACAAGTTAATGAAAAAGCAGACACACAACAAGATCAATTGAAAAGGCAACAGTAAAAAACGTGCGAATCCAAACAGCAAACAAAAGGCAAATGAAGAAGGAAGAACACATGAACATCTTGCTGTTGTGTTTGCTTTTGTTTTGAGGTTGCATGATTTTCCGCGTGCTTTATGTGTGTGTGTGTGTCGCTTGTTTTCACATGTGTCTTCCATTTTTGAATTGTAAGATCAAAACTAATTCGTTTGTCGCTCTTGGTTGCTCATTTTTCGCATCGTGTGTTGCTGTGTTGCTCTGTTGTCTTGTTGCTTTGGCTGTTTCATTTGTTTTTGGTTCCTCTTTGGGGGGCGCTCTTTGTGCTGATGCTTTTTCATTCGCATAGTTTCCCTTGTTGGCAGTGTTTGCTTTTGGAGCTGTTCCAATGTGTTCCATCTTTCATGGTTGTCTAAAGCCTATGCTAGTTCTATATGCTTAGTGGTGAACACAGCTTCTTCAATATCACCTTCTGGTGGTGGTTTTCGCAAGCAACAAAACCATACAAAACCCTTGAGACAAAATCGTTTTCGTTTTATTGAGATACGTCGATGGGAGTCGAACCTGTGTCCATTCTCCTTCTTTCAACCATTCTCCGCATGGTCTCGTCCCTTTGCGGATCCTTTTTTTCGTCCGACCCGCGAACGAAGGCACCGGACCTGTCCCAGGCGTTCCCTGTCTTCGGTTCCGCGTGCCGCAGAAGGAGGAGGTGAAGGCGGGAGGGTTTTGACATGTCAAAGATGAAAAGAGGCTAATGTAGACGCTTGATTGCAAAAAGATCACCCACCCAGTCTCAGACATAGATTGTAAAATCTAGAAGGTCTGGGGGGGTTATGAATCAAGAGTCTACAACATGACTCAACGCGAGAATGCCTCCAATGCCTCCCCCAAAGAGCATCCAGGATATCAGGGGCCATCCACATCATTCCACATCTCCATGCATGGGCCATGCCATCCACATAAGCATGTTGCATGTGTTCGTCAAGGTGTAGCTCGTTTCACCTTCTCATGATCTTTGCATCCAAAAAGGATCGATTCCTCACGATGTCGATCCACTAGACCGGCCCCAGTTGCGCGAACTTCCCAGACCCCTTCGTTCACAACACCGACGCCCGTCGCGACCTTTCTTGGATTCGGTTTGGACCATGGACCAGTCTACCCAGCTGTTCGGGGTGAGAGAGAAGGTAGTCCAATACACACAAAAACGGTTTAGGAGGTCAATGGTCTCCCTGTCAGCAAGGAGTTGCTGAACCGGAGAAGATCAGCTCATCCCCCTCTTTTCACCGGATGTACCATTATAAGTAGAGGCCACTGAAGCGGCGATGTGATGAAAAGGGCAAAGAAGCAAAGAGGCCCACTGGGTGGTGAGGAATTTTCACCCCCCCGACTCATATTTAAGTGAGTTGAACCGCCAATCAGCTAGGATCTAGATTACAATGACTTGGGCCGCCTTGGCCGGAAATTGGTGGTGCAGGGTGGTTTTTGTTGGAGTATAATTTCACATGCACCTGAAATACGCGCACGCTTTGGACGGGTCGAGTCCGAGATGGGGCACTCAGCATAGGAGAGTGGCAACCAAATTAACTTGAAATGCATGTCACATGCACCTGAAATAGGCCACTGGGCGACGTGTCTTTCCACTCACAGTTCTTCTTCCAAGGCTTCGTCGCCGGGTTCTATGCGCGAGCACCCGGCAAGAGCGACGCCCTGAGGAAGCGGGCGGAGACCAAGGGGAAGGTAACTGAGCTCTCCGAAGAGTTGGGTGGCTTTGGAATGTGTTTGAGTTTCAATGATTTGGGCAAGCATTTTCGACATAGACATATGCAGATACGGATACTGTACACACAATGATATACAATGGTGTCTATTCTTGAGGGGAGGTGGTCAACAACTCACAAAACAGCAAGTGACTAAAGAAAGAGCTGCACTAACGGACTGCAATAAAAATGAAGCACCTGTCAACTTGGAGTAGATAGTTCTATATTCCCATAGGAGCCTGTGATGCCCAGATTGCTGAGTTTCCGTGCAGAATTCTAGCGATTCCATACTACAAATCGCTGGGTATGAGCTTCCAAGTTGACGGATAAGCTCTCGAAAACTTCCGATCCATGAGTCTGTTTGGTTTGAGGACTTCGCGGATTCGGGGTGTCATGACCAAGCCACTTTTGGTGTGTTTTTCTCGGGCTCCTTACGATGTCTTATGACCCTGGGCTGGGGAAATCAACCAACCTAAAACCGTGAGGACTTAATTCACTACCTCTGTGGCTCAAAAGGACCCAGAAACAGGCCCTGTACAAGGGACCGTTTATATGATGGTAGTTTTCGGGCCATCGCCACTGCACAAGTTTGCCTGACAATATGATTCTTGTTCAGTGAACTAATCACTTGGGCTCACGGAACAACGAATCGCCGGCGAGGTACACCTGGGAACGAACCTGAAAAGTTGGCGTGGGTTGGCATCCCTGCCAGTGTCCATGTGGTTCTTCCACTATCGCGGTGCCATGACTGTTTCTTGAAGTTCTTGCCGTTTTGAATGCGCTACAGGGTTTCGTAGGGTCCTCCAGCCGATGCTTCAGCTGCAGATGTGTGTGAGACTTTTTCACCCAAAGCAAGCGGAGTAAGAAGTTCTTGAAACAACTCGAAAAGTCCTTTGATCCGACTGAAGAATCTCGGTGTCCTCGCACGTGCAGCAAGCATGCCCTTTGCTCATTCTGGAGATGTTGGGTTTGACAAGTGGAAGGCTGGACAGAGTTGATCAGAATCCAGAAGGGCATGAAGGTTGATCAGGGTTGATCAACGACTTCTGCACGAATCCAAAGCGTCCGAGCCACGTCTCTCGAAAGAGATCTTCCAAACGTCGATTGCCCTCCCGCATACCCTCTCCATACCCTCTCCTCAGACGTTTGAAGATGGACCAGGCACTTCCAGGCCCTGTTTCATCATCGGAAGGGGGCCAATGGCCTTCCAGGTTCCACTGAAGAAGGACATCTGAAGGTGACCGCCAGTGGTGATCACATCTGGGATGTTGATACACTGGTGGACGGTGCGTGTCGACGTAGAGAACGATGGGAAAAGGATGAGTCGCCAGGTGAAGTTGAAGGAAGGCATCAGCAAGAAGACACTGTAGATAGAGAAAAATTGATATGTGTACACTAGCAAGCCCGGTGATTTCCAGGATGGGCAAGATAAGGGCTTTCAACAAGCCACATGATGTGGCACTTCTCTTGAACGAGTATGTGATATGTGTTAGAGTCTCTTCAAAAACAGCGAAAAACAGCACGGTGTCCAAAGCACGCGTGGTCTCTTGGTTTGTCATGGAGGGCAGTCTTGCATACTTGAAAGGGACACAGGAGAAGCCCAGTTCCCGTCGGCTTTAGGCAGCAATCTCATGCGTTTGCGTTTATTGTGTTTGTTTTGTATGTTTATGTCGTGTATGTGTTTGTTGTGTGAAAAAAATCAAGCAAGGACAACCCTTGATGAGCAAGGCAACTCCCATTCGATGAAGCAACCGATACTTCACCGTTCACCATGTTGCGCGGCTGCTTTGATGCCGACAACTGTGTGGACCAAAAGGTGTTGCTGAGAACGAACAGTTGGCGAACAAGCCACAAGTGGACATGGACATGGCCTGAAGCTCTCAAATGCCGACACTTGCACACCAAGAGTCTCTCAGATGAAGGAAGGGAACTTATTCTTGTGTTCAATGTGCTTGTCCCGATGTGCCCTCGGTCATGCTGCACACCATATCTGTGCAAAAGATTACGTTCGCCCAGAACGTTCGCATCACTTTCCCATTCCGCGCACTGGTCGCGCAGTGCTTGCCAAGCTGGAAGTGAACATGATGAAAGACTTACTGTGTTTTCAAAAGAAGTCAGATGAATACATATATATATATGTATTAATTAATATATACTGTATATATAATACACTTAAAATGTGGATAACTAAACTTTAACCTAGGATGGTTTATCCGTTTGTCCCAATCCAATCAACCACATCAACCCAGCTCTTAAGACTGAGTTGAAACCACCAAGTCTTGTAGGTTCCTGCAAGACTTCCCTGCTGAGGCTTTAAATGGGTCTACTTCATTCGACACTCCGAGGTCCCGGGTCGTCGCCATGGCTGTCGCAGCTGTCGCATGTGATCAAGCATGATCAACTTGGATCCTTTCGTCGAAAGTCCTACAGTTGGTTTCAGAGCTTCGATGGCGCACCTGACTTAGACAGATGGGGTTCCAATTGTTGCACCACGGACCTTCAACTTGTGCCATCTACTCTCAATCTACTGTACTTCCTGGTGAGGACCCGATGTTCGAAGACCTACTGTAGACGCGAATCGAGCCCAGCCCACCCAGCGGATCGTTGCTCTTCGCTGCACTTCGCTGCCTGCTGGGCACCATCCGGTCAGGCCTTGGTCAATGCTGCTGGACGAGTTTTCCCCAAGGACTCTCTGGGCAGACATGTTTTTTGGGAGCGCCTTTTCGCTCACGTACCGGGGAGCACAGCTTCAGGGAACATGAGTTGGTAGAACTGATCTGATTCATCGGTTCTGGAAGTTGGTAGAACTGACCTGCATGGTTGGACGCGGCTCGAGTCTTGACGTCTTGACCGTCTTGACCGTAAAAAACCATTGAGGTTTCTCAATCTTCAGTTGAACAGGAATTAGAATGGGAATACGCTCAACCTAGAAGCTATCTAAGGTCGGCTGTATGGATGGGATGAGGTGCTGCCACCAAACATGCATTGGGACACCTCCTCAAGTTCTTGAAGGGCGAAAGGTGGTGAAGGTCCATGGTGAAGGTCCAGAAGTCGGGGGCTAAGCAGCATGCGGTCGAAATGTCTAAAGTACGTCATCGAAGTACCTTCTCAGAAGATAGATGGTTAGACCATGTTAGACCCTCCAGGCCTTCGAAAGGGATGTATTTGGAGCCCGAACGGGAAAGTATCTTTAGATCTCACACCTCTCCGTCGACGATCATTGAAAGAAACCATCAGTCGCGGCCCAGGATGACCCACGCAAGAAGGCCGTGCGAATGGAGCTGACCTTAGTTTGCGGAAGCTGCATGGTCAATGCTGGCAGGTGTCATCACGTTCTTGAAAAAGACACACTGAATTAATGTATTCATAATGTATGTATGTAATTATATGATATTATATGTGTGACACCATTGGGATTTTGGGGAGTTACAAATGCTATCCAAATGTTTGGTGGGAAGTACATCCCAAAACTATTGACATGTGGTGTCACACATGCGATGTACATTCAACACTCGTGCGATGTACGTGGTGTCATGGCAACTGAGTTTGGGCCGGATCATGAACTATAAGGATGTTTCACCAGTGTCAACTTGACACCCTGGAAGACATGTTTCCTGATCTTGCTGTTCCAATATACATGGCCCTGTTTGCTGAGCATAACGTACGCCTTTACGGCGTTTAAGAAACTTTGGCTGTTGGTGACGATTTTACTGTGGGTGGGTGCATCCTGTGCAGGATCAACCTGTTAGCTGTTGGTGACATCAAAAAGCGTCGCGAAGAAGGACGACCCTGGGACGGTACTACCATCCATCAACAATGCCGATGCTTTGTTTCCTGTAGCTTGCTGGGGCTAAAGGACTGGATATCAGATAGCTTATCAGATATCAGGATGCACAGGAGAACAAGGAAGACCAAGGACGGCCTCCACACAGTCATCGGAACCGATGACAATCCTCTTTTCCATGATCTAAAATGAACGATTTGAAGAAATACACTCCCCGAAATGTCTGCAATAATCATCGTGGATGACACCAAGCACTGCTTGGTCTTCGGATGAAACTGGTCCGAACTCGGGGACCATGTTTCCCGTCCACTTCCACGGTGGTGTCAGATGATGTCCTAAGGACTGTCCCAACATTCCGGTTTCAAAACCGCGCCGACTCGCCGACCACGTCGCATCTCGCTTCTTTTTCGAGGATATGAAATACTTGGACTCACCGCTCTCCGAGAAAGGCTTGTCCCAGGCGCGGTCTGCCGGAGGACGAGCGGTGAGCGAACGTGACGAGGATGCGTGGAGGACGAGGACCAGGAGGACGCGGCATGGATGAATCGAGCGGCGATGGACCGCGGATGGATGCATGCCTGGAGCGATCCGGAGCTGCGGACGGCTGACGAAGACCCAGACAGTCTCGGGGGTTGTCGAGTCCTCTTGGTTTGTCCTACGAAGCCGTTAAGGATGTCAGGATTACTCAGGACGTCCTACGGAGCCATAAACCATCATAAACCCGACAGCCAAAGGACCGGACTGCAAAAAGAGGGGAAAAGATTGAAGAGGATTGAATCATTGAAGTATTGCAATTATTGTAAGTAAGTGTTAATACTCCAATGATTGAATGTTTGAATAAGTATATACATTAGATAATAATTGTAAGTACTCCAATTATGCCTTTCAGTTCTCCCTCTACTTGAGCAACACGGCCGCCACATGCATCACAACAAAGCTAGGCCATTTTCGTGGCTGGAAAGATCCACCCATGGATCAGCTGTCACCCAGCTCTGAAAGCACGACAAAAAAATACCTCCAATCATAGCAGTTGGAAAAGGCCGCCCCTGTGACCGTCGTGGCCTTTACCCGGTCCACCGCGCAGGTCGTGCCCAGTCGGTCTGGGATCTCCCGCTCGAAAGACCACGACCGAACCGGATGCGAACCGGTCCGAGGCACAAGAGATGCGCATGAAAGCTCCCAAGGCGAGGTCGCGGGAGTCTCAATGAGATCTGAGAGATCTGGGTCCAACGAGGTGCCTTCCACGCGTCCATCATCGTCCATCCATCTCAAGTTCTCATGCCCCAAATGAGGAGTCAGTACCCTCAACCGGCACCAACATTCAGCGAGCTTGCGACAGGAAGGAGATGGAAACCCTTCGTCGTTGTGGGAATCCAGTGTGACCCCGAAACATCCATAGACTGTCTCAGACAGTCTGGGTTCAGGTCGCCTGAGCATTGCTGTGCAAGACACCTCTTGATTCTTGATTCTTGATATTTTTGCTCAGATGTCGTTTTCCTGGATTTTCCTGGTTTGTGTCAAATCTTGGGGGAGGCTGAAGGTTTGTACGTTCCAGTGTCCTTTATTGACGGCCTTTCTTGGAGAACCCTGATGAAGGTGACATTCAGGCCCTAGAAGCTTGGATAGCCTTTACGATACTGTTGAAACTGATGGGCAAAGTCCTACACCATTTGTTTCACCCTATCAATCACCCAATACTTCGATTATATTGTGTTCGATTGATTAATTGCGTCCATGTGGCGGACAGAAGGATTTGTAGCGAACTTGAGCAATGCGAAGCCCGAATCTTCCGCACCAGTGGGGTTCCACGCCTTCAGCCAGCGACTCTCGGTATGTCTTAGAGAGAGGGGTCCACAAACTACATGTTTGTGACTACATGGTCCATGACGACAAGAGGATCCTTCCGGTTCGTCACCACCTGGAGAGACAGACGATCGAGAGGCGTCGATTTCGTTGGTCGCGACCGTGGTCAGGTGGATCTGGTGGTGGCTTCCCCCCTCACTCGAGCCCTACAGACTGCCACCGCTGTAGCTCGCATACTGGGAACGGCTCGGGACGGATGAAGTACCGAGGTTCCGGAGGTTGTCATGGGGGGTTGGATTTCAGCTCCGGGAATTGAAGAGTGCGTGAGGATGATCATGGTGTTTGTATGTGTCCCATGCCGGTTCTTTGTGTTTACAACTCTAACTACCTGGGGATGTGTTCGAAGACTGTTGGAAGACTAGCTCGGAACTGTCGATGTTCGTGCATGTTGAATTGAGGGTTTGTGTATTTGTATGTGTTGGTTTCACGTGTGGGTGCACGTTGTCATGAATGGGGATCCGAATCCGGATAGGTTGTTCTCAATTCGGGCAGTAAGTACGGTATGGACCAACCATGACTAACAGAATGGCAAGTAAACCCTCACTAAGTAAACCAACCATGACTAACCATCACTATAAGTAATTACCTGGTTTTCACACGTTGCGAATTGGTAACAGCCCAGTCTTGGTTGAGCATTGCTCCTGAGGATCTGTAGGCACCAGGCCGTGCTTCTTGGAACGCACCGTAACGGCATCTGCCGAGATCTTTGGTTGCGATACACCTGGTGGCCCTCCTTTGGTGGCCTTGGAGGCGGGTTTGGGGGTGTCTAGCGCGACTTGTGGACTCGTTGCAGTGAACTACGGGCACACAAGTCCATGCGTTGAAGTCCATGCTGCAGGACCCCTCCTGCCCAGGCTGCCTGACCTGACCCGACCACAGGTGGTTTCTGAGCAGCTCTTCTCACCAAAAAAGTGTTGTTTTTTGTCAGTCCATGCTGTTTCCAACTACATCCAACATCATCCAACTACCATTTCTCCTGTTTTTGAAATGCTTGCAGCCAGATCGTGGTGTCCATGTATATGGATGGCTGGCTAGGTAGGTAGGTAGGTATAGATTTCGATAGATCGATGCGGTCTGTTCTGAACGGCGGATCCGAAGAGAGAAGTGTCTCGTTGTCTCAGGCCCTGAGGGAGTTCTGTGGGAAGCAGTTCCAGCCCTGCGACTCGCGCCGGGCGCCGGAGGCGCGTCCTTTCTGCGGGCGAGAGCGGAGCGCGTCAGCGCACGGATAGACCGAGTCACGATGCAGAAAGCCACAGGCTTCGATCACCTGCAGGGATTGGGAGACACCCCATGAGACTAGACATGAACAGGTGGAGTTCTGAACCGGTGCCTAGCTAGTCTACCCTACGACCTGGCGCGACACGTACGTAGGTTGGCAACGCAGAGGCGGAACGACATGGAAACACCGTTGAAGATCTCAATGTTTGAGAACATGGATGAACATTTGAAAAACCCACCCTTAACCACCTTGCCAGGAGGCCAGGGGCATATATGTTGACATGGTTTGGTGGGAATCCAACAAGCCATAAAAGTTCTCCTGAGCTGCTTGTTGCTGGCGCCCTCAAAAACTCTGGATACCAAGCCTCCCACATGTGCAAGTTGGTGGGGAACCTAAACTTGGCAGAGGATTTATCTCAACTTATATAATATCATCCGAATCAGTGCCTTCCAGTTGGTTTGGTGGCCAAGTGTAACTTGTTGCACCAGCCATGGTGTTGATTTCTACGACCTCAACAGCACAGGAGCTGCTTACTGTGTTCCCACACGTGGACTTTGCCAATGCACTGGGGCTGCAGATGTCGGTGGAGTGGGGCTGCAATGGAGCACAAGAGGACGAGTGGTTTAGATCGGGGATGTATTGGATGTGTTACAGGAATCAACTGCGCCCGGGAGATGTGATGCTTTGCTGGTAATCCAACAGTGTAGGTCTTTGTCTTGGGAAGATAGCAAGGCTCCCTGCTCCTTGTTCTTTGTGGATTGAGTGTCTATGATAGGATGTTCATAGTGCCACAGTGATGCTGGTGCCAATCCATCTGCAGTTTCACCAGTCTTCCAGCACAGCATCGTCCCATCGTCCGTCAGACTGACTCAACACATATAATACCTTTGGATGATATCCGCACCAACTTGAGAAAACGATCCAAGTTGATTCAAGGTTGGAATTCTACACTTTTCAGAGTACCCTCGTCTCCGTTGTTTTTTTGGCCATTTCCATCGCACGAGGTCCCTCCTGGTGCAGACACGCTGCTTGGACCGGGGAAGGCCCGCCAGATGGACTCGCCTTCGGCGAAATCGGAGAAATCCCCAACAGAAAGGGAGCCATTCAGCTATAGCCTAGCACCCCAGCTATGGATGGCAACATCGTGCACTCTGGTGAAGTACGACCATCCAGTATACTGGTAACTCCAGGATGAGGGAGTTTCTGTATACCAGATGAAATGGCCGTAGCTCAATTCCTTGCTGAAGAAGTACATGGAAACACCACTGGTGAGGACTTCGTGGATGCGCGGGAAAAACGAGTAGGCTGGGAGTGTACTGTAGCTCACAGAATGTTCCACCTATCCCCAGCTCCTCTGTTTGTGTTTGGGGTATCTTTTGTCTAGAGTGTGGTTTCCCAGCCCCACCATGAGATTTCAGTTTGTTGGAAACATGTTGCATGTTGTTTGAAACAGCCTCGTGCTGCTTTGGACATACTCAAGAATAACCTTTGTGTGTGTGAGCAATATTCACATACCCAGAGGTTCAAGGTGATCAGACAGGCACAAGCGTCAGCTGCATGTCATTCCATCATCGTGGGAACCGACACGGGCCAAAACCTTCCGCCTGTCGACCACCTTGTGAAGGAAAACCATGCAAAAACCCAACAAATTGATCCATCCTTGGTTTTCCTGATCGGAGCTGAGTATATTTGTCCAAAACTGGGTGAATCCCCTGGCATGGGGATGATGCACCCTGGAAGACGAGACTAACATGGACCCTGAGTACACCACTGGTTGGTAGAGGAAAACACTCTTTGAGGGGGCCAGGACGTCAGGGTCTATGTTAGTTTTCGGGAGTGTATTTGATTTGTTTACCGGCTCCTGGACAGCCAATCCAAAGCATTGCTCGACCAAATCTGGGCGTCGAAAACACAAAAACACCGTCGTCTTCGGGGAGCAGTGAGGCTCCTCCGCCCGCCCCACTACCGCCCCTGTGGTGGATTTCACCAGAGGTGGAAACTCCGGAGAGCGCAGATGCACGGATTGCCAGGTGGACTGGGAGAGTTGCGCAGTGGAAAGTTGTTTCAAGGTTCAAGAACTAGGCCAACTAGCTAGGTGGTAAGTCGCGGAAGGTTGTCGGAGTGCTAGTGCTAGAGAACAGCAAAACTGTTGGATTGTCAATGTGGCTCATGGAACCGATAATGGGTTCCAAGAATATCATCTGTTGGATATGTTCTGCTTGCGGCAAGCAGATCTGGCTCGAGAATATGGCACTTGGCACTTGGGTACCTGGACCACCTCAAACTGGAGTCTTTAAGAAGTGACCCACAGGCCTGTTGCTGACCGAAAATCCTGGGATCTCGAGGTTGGTCACGGACTGAAGGTCGTGGTAGCCATCCAATGTTGATCACAAGTTGCTACGTTTTTTCACCTCTCCTGTTGACCGGTGGTTGTTTTGCGGCAATGGGGAAAAGGCTGCTCACGGATGATTGGGTGGAGTGGAGTTGATGACAGACAATACTCTTGAAATATTCATGGAAGTGGAAAACACCTCTTCATAAGGGTCCTCCAAGGGACAATTTCCACTTCCATGACTATTCCAGCAAGAGTACAATTCATCCTCTCGTGTATGGTTCCAGGTGGACTTTGGTGTTACTGCTTATTTTAGTTATTTAGGGTCCTGTTCTATCCTTTTCTCCGCCCATGTTTCCTGTATTTAACCCTCAAGTCTTACAAATTGACTTCTGTCTTGGGCGGTTGAGGGCAACTAGCCCAGTGACTCTTTCACCAGATTCAGCTTCGCTTTCCCGCATCACAAAGGTTTTCAGGTGTTCGTGATAGAGCCACATATCTTCATGTGGCTAACTCCGACGACCTCTACGCAAACATCCAACCCGATGAGAAGAAACCATATGAGAACAGCGATTGAACTCCGACTTATTGTGATGTGAAGAGCATCAAGAACTTGACTTCTCTTCACATGATGGTAATTGATGATATGACCTCTTCCTGGTCTTGCTGGGATGCGACCGTGGTTTTTTGAACCAGTGGGGTTCCTCGAAGTCACGGTCAGCAGGGCATGACATGAGAGACCTAGTCTTGGGGAGTCTTTTTGTCAACTCTGGAGTTGTCTAACAAAACACTCGTTTGTTGGGGAAGCCCGAACAACACACTCGTCCTTCTGGCAAAAAACTGTCCTGGTTTATCCTGGCTTCAAGGTTTTTTGCCTGGCTACGAGAACAGCCGCCGGGGGGCCTCAGATCCGACGTCTGGAACTCCCCATGCCGGGATTCCCATGGATTCTGCAGGAAGCCTCCATGCCAGGTTCCAACAAACCCAGAGGAAAAAAACACACATACACGTATCAAACAATATGAAACATCGCAACATCCAACATCCCCATGTTCTTGAAGAACACAATCCGTCAAGATTCCGGGACAGCCTGCCAGTACCATCCGTCAAGAATCGGCATGTTCACCACCGAAGAACAAAAAACCGCTAGGTTCCCTATTGGAGGGTACATACGGTTGATGTTCAATTGCAAGTCACCATCTTCAACTCCGAGAATTCCCATCTAGACATGTTTGTTAGTGGGATATCAATTTAATGTTCTGTATGCAAATATCCTTACCACAGGGTCGGTGATCTTTCACTTCTTTCTGTCAGGAAATTGAGATGGTCTGAGAAGGGGTTGTTACTAGGCAGGTAGATTCGACTTCAGGTGCTGGTTCAGGTATCTCCAAAGACATACTGCCAATAACCCCTGATATCGCTGCGGTTCATCATCCAGAGTGTCCATTTAGACAAACACTCAACTCCTCAAATGTCAAGCTGAATGCAGACATCTAACGAACCAACTTCTCCCCCACAACACATAAACATGTCTTTACCACATTTGAACCACACTGAGATGGTAGAGCAAAAAGCGCTTCCCAACCTTTGGGCAGGTGCTTGGTTTGTTTGGAACATTTGAAGATGCTTTGAAGAAAACCCCACTGCCAAAAGAAGAAGACACCCTGGCTTTCCTGGTGCGAACCGAGGCAGCAGAACATCGCATGCGTGGCACATTTCCAGATCCTCAGCCGTATCTTTGCCTCTTGGCAGACGGCACCGACCTGGGCAGACCTGGCAAGTAGATGTTCGGCACTTGGGGCTCTAAGCAGATTCCAGCGTTTTCCCAGGTTCCAGGTCGATTCTGGGCTCAGTCAGATCGAAACGCGCGGGGTTCCCCCCGGTGGGAATAACCCCAGTGGGTGACCTGTTTGGGCATGGAAATCAGGTAGAATCTGGATTGACAAAAACATACACCCCCATTTGAATTGCAAAACCTGTGTTTAATTGATTCTACATTAGGCCTTCAATTTTGAGTCTAGTTTTTGAGCATGGTATAATTCGTCCAGTTGTAGTGATGGCAGTAGCTGATCCACGAATCCGCCGGCGCGCATTGGGCTTTGCTGGGATTTGAAGCCGGAAAATGTGCGGAGTCCACAGAGATTGCTTTGGTCAACATGGTCAACAGGCTGAATAATGAGAGCCTTCAATTCCATGCATCTTCCACTTCACTACTAAGTGGCCAGACGTTTTTTTAAAAGTCTTGCCATACTTTGGGCCTGTCCTAATGCCTGTAACAGTCCGCAAATGATTGTCACTATTTTAGAGAGAGGCCTGCGACCGAACCATCATTGTCTACTGTTACTGATGATAGGATATACCCAAGCAATACTGCATGTCTTGGCCCTTGGCCAATGTATACTTGTTTCAAGTCGGTAGTGATGCTTTGGGAGATTGTTTAGCAGAGGTCCAGCGGTTGGATTCTGCTCCTGGCCTGGCGGCTCCACGGCTCTGGCTCCGCTATAGGTTCATTTGAAGGGCTCTGGTCTGGATTCTGCTTATGGAGACTTTGCCAACCTCGAGGTGGGAAGGACGGGCGGGGAAGGGCGGTTCAGGCGGCGGTTCCGGCGGTTCGACGCTTCCAGATCTGCAAGACCGTGGAGACCAGAAAGATCCTGTGGGGGTGTCCAATTCAGATTTGTTGGAAGGTCCTGAGTACTGGTAGAACTCCAAAGAAAACTTGTTCACCACCATTTGGGAAGACCAGTCACCAGAGTTTGGTGATACCACGAAGGTGACCGGTCATGTGGAATTCGAGGTAGTGCAGGAGTCTCCATTCGTTGGGTGCGGGTGTCGATATGGTTCTGGTCCAGGTCAGCCAGAGATGTCAATCCTTTTCCACGCAGGCTGACGAAGAAACCCCAGTGACGGACCTTGGGAAGAGTCGTGATGCGACGCTTCTGAAGAGACCGGGGGTCCATACCCAATCCACTCTCCGAGAGAGGAGGAGAATGTGAGATGAACATGATGAACGATCTAACTTGAAGCTTTTGGACGGTTGGAATGCAAATAAGTGAGTTTTTGCTGTGAGCTATCGTTCAGTGGAGACGAAACAGGATGGTAGTTTTGGCTTCTGGCTGCACATGCTGGTGGCAGCCGATCAACCCAAGCAGTCAATCCGTTTGCATCAGGGACCGCTGCGCACTCACCAAACCCGGGTCCTTGGGCAGTGTTTTACCATCGACGAAAGACCAGATGCCTTAAACTGAGCCGCATGTGTCTCCTTGACTGAATGATTGTTTTTGAAGCGAAAATCACCCGTCTAGGGCTGGGGTTCTTTCTGATCTTGCCACTGCGCTTGCATCACCCATGGATTCGATCTAGACCTCGTCCCACTGTTTGTGGACGTCATAGCTGTTGTTTAATTGAGGTGACTCAATAGGATTTGATAAATCCCTTTGTTTGGGGGGCAGCAACCAGAGAGCATGTTTCTTGTCTGAGGTGAGATCTATTCCGATTGCTTTCAATTAAATTTGATAGATTTGAAACAAGGATGGCCAGGATGACCAAGAATCAGACAAGCAAAAATTATTGTGCCGAACCGCAATATCAACAATACCCAATAGATCATAATAGATCCCAATAAATGAATCGTATTTATATTTTGATATCTTTTAATATTTCGGTGGAATGTACGGTTGAGGCTTGATATTAAGTAATATCTATATATATAAATTAAATTATAGATATTTAATTATAAATATGTATTATTATATTTATTTTGTTTTTGATGAAAATTTTGTAACATTTTATGAATGTATTTAAAAATATATTTAAATATTTATTAATATATATATAGATAATATTTAATGTAATTATTATTGTTAATTTAGATTCGGTA